TTGCTTATGAAATTGACAATATTTTAAAGCAAAAATGAAAGTATATAATCATGTCCACAGACTGCCAATGTAAATATAATTAGCAATCTTTTTGGAACTAATTTGACACTACCTCTTTGAGTGTAATATTTGGTTCAACCCTAAAGGTTCTACCCCCAAATTCCCCTTATAGGAATTTTTCCTAGGGAATAACTAATAACTAATATAAGAATTTACATATCACAAGGATATTCTCTAAAATACTAGTTAAAATATTGACAGATTGGAGAAACAGAACTTCCCCCAAAATGAAAACAGTGAAAATTATGGAATTCATGGCTATGTAGCCATTAAAAAACAATGTTTTAAACGAAGGAGGTAGGTAACAAATTAGCAAGATAGGAAAAAGAGATTCCAAGAGGAAAGGACATGAATGCAAGCATGGGATGAGCAAGTATAAATCATGATGGGAAATGGGAAATAATTTACTTCAGCCACAATGCTATCTGAGGAGAAACAGTGGACAACAGGAAATCCTTAGGATATGGGTGTACCATATGCATCACTGAACTTTTTCACTAGACAGTACTGTGAAGCTGGTTAAGAACATAAGCTTTAGAACCAAAAGATCTGGGGATCCATCATCCAAACTCAGGTTTTTTATGTACTACCCAACTAATTCTGTACYTAAACTTTGGTATCTATCCATAAAACTTAATATTGTTTCCTTAGTACTACTCTAAAAATAAAATAAGGTGGTATATGTAAAACATTGTTTTGTGTCAGAGTAAATGCTAATAAACAGTTGATTGTTATATTAAACCACTATGCAAAAAGAAGTGTGGAAGTACAAACGAACTATTGTTAAAGATTTGCATGGTTTTGCCAGRTGCTTTGGCAACCTCCTGTAGTCCCAGAGACTCAGGAAGCTGAGGCAGGAGAATCACAAATTCAATGCCAGCCTCAGCAACTTTGCAAGGCCCTAAGAAACCTGTCTCAAAATTTTAAAAAGGGCTGGAATGGCATGTAGTTTAGTGTTAAAGGGCCCCCTGAGCTCAATCCCCAGTATCAAAATAAATAAATATGTAAATAAAAGATTTGCCTGGTTTTATTTCTATGTAATTGTTTTAATTAAATTCAGGAATAAGCATGTGCTACGTAAGTTTATTCTCAATGAAGTGACACATTTCAGTCGCATCTGAAACTGAGAACACAATCATCTACTGCCTCTCACTGTTTCATAGGAGAATTGATTGTTCTGTGATAATGTAAGCTATAATTATTTAAAGAAAAGGACTTATGTTCCTGTCTCATCTGTATCTTTAACAGTCTTCACAATTTATAAAATGCTCATTGTTCTATTAGTTTTAATTGTGATAGTGGCAGTGTAGGAGTAGACTGTCATGTTTTAGTCATAAAACTTGACTAGATCTATAACAGTCAGGAAATTCGATCTCAACTTTTACTTCAGATCCAGTGCTTTCAATTTGTACAGTAAACTTTCTTTCCTCTTTTTGTCATTTAACGTTACCTATAAACATTTTTACTCACTTCAGTTCATAGTCCAAAGTGTGAGAGTATTGATAGCCACAACACATAAACTTTCTGAATAAAGCTATTTGAGAGAAATGATGGAGAAATAGTTATATAATTGAAAAGACCCACCTTTATATTTCAAATGCTTGTTAGAAAATGGCATCACACTACATCTATATGAAACATTTAATGAGGATAATATATTGAAAATAATAATACATAAATAAATGTATTATATAAATGAGGTTCGTGATGCTTAAGGAGATGGAACTGCAAGTTAGCAAGAATAGCAAGAAAGACAATGCTTTTATATCAATCTTATTAGTATGTTAATGAAGTCAAAGATTTCATCAGTGTGCATTTTAACAGAGGACCCTCCAATGCTCAGCATACTTCCAGTCCTGACACCTCACCTCACTCTTTCTGGCTTAATCCCCACTACTGCTGGAATCATCTTTGAGTGTGGCTGTCATCAACTCCACAGCTATTCTTTGTAAACATTCAGTACTAACTTCCTAGAAATATGGTAAATTGAAATGCCATTAATTTTTTTCTGTATTAGTAAAACTTCAAAAATATATTCAAATTTATTGTCGCTGAAAGAAAAACAGATTCTATTTAATCCTACAGTGGGCTTTTCAACTCTCTTCATGAGACAAAATAGACAAATACACAGAAACTCTTTCGTCTCCAAAGAGAATAAAAGAACAGGATGTAAATAAAAATGTCTGTTCTCTCTTTTAGAAGGTTTACTAAGCATGGAACAATATTCGAAGAAGAGTTAGTGGATTCTACTCCTAATATTGTCTTTGAGATTTTCTTCTTGAAGGTAGAAACATGGGATTGTATGCAAGGTTGTTACAGATTCTATAAATCCCTAACATTCATTGCTCCAAAAAGAAGGGGAACATCTATTCAGAATCTACTTTGTACAAGACACTTCAGTGAAATTAAATTTAACACATTTAAAATGTATTTCCTACTAATAAAGATAATTTTCAATGTGACACCTACCACTAGAGGGAGTTTATTTTGCTCAATAAATTCAAATGACTAAAAGAGCTTCAGGTTAAAATTATGTCACCTACTTTATTCCAAAATTTTATGGAATTGTATAAGCAAATGACTACCCTTTTAAACAGTTCTATAATAAATGCCATAAAATAAAATAAAATGGCTATAATTTAAAGAGTCCAAGTAAAGTAAATCAGAATAGCATAGCATTTTCCAAGTCAATATGTCTTTTTCCCAAGGTTATCATGTTTTAGGCCTCATTAGCTACAAAATAGTAGTTTAATTTAAAAATTCATATTAAATTTACTAGAAAGTTTAATAGTCTCATTCTTTGAGCTAACTTTGATTAACTGCATTTTTATTTTTATTCAGGTAAAAATAACTCCAACACTTTCATTTGCTCATCTAACTGTCAGCACTAGACTTTTCTTATAGAAGAAACTGGTGACACTTAAAACATCTATATGATTAGAAGCAATGCATGGTGATTGGTAAATGTTTGATAAACATCTATAATAACTATTAATATCTATAATAAAGTGTGGATGAATGAGAATACTTATAGTAGAAGAAAGTATTAAACGCAAGGATATTAAAGTCTAAGGAAGTATCAAAATGCATTCTACTGCTATGTATAACTAATTAGAACAAATAAAATAAAATAAAATAAAATGCATTAAAAAAGTCTAAGGAAGTACATTAAAATATGAAAATAATATAATAAAATAACATCTCATTCAAAAGGAAAATGTAGTATATTAAAAGGGAAAATCTTTTATAAAATATTAACTAGAAAACCCCAAATGTTAAAACTTTATAATGAATATAAAATTAAGGTACTTGATTTTGTTTATAAAGCAATCTATGTCCTTTTATAACCTACTGACTGAAACTTAATATCTTTAAAACCATTCAGGGCTTCAAATTTTCTTACCAAACACATAAAAGCCTATTATAAATTATGCTAAGTATATCATTATATTAATAAATACATAGAATAGGCATTATAGAWTGCCTCTCAGTTTTAACCATCAAGAACAAAATCAAATTAGAAAAAATGCTTTACTTTACAAAACCTTTCTACAAAATAAAAATATTATAAATCAATGTCTCAGAATTGTCAAGACAGAAAATTGCTGACTAGACAATATTGCTAGATACACTGTATTATAAAACCTCTTTCTATATTATAACCAGTCTATCTACAGAGGGAAATCCTCTGTTAATGCAAAACTATTAAGTCAAAGATCTGAAGACCTATGAGAACTGAAATTTTTAAAGGAAATTAAAGTTCCAGAAAAATGAAACTTTAGGTAACTAACTTTAAATACTGTATAAATATGAAACTGCTATTTTTCTGGGTTCTCATATAGGGACAGTTAAGTTTTAAGTGAAAAGTACACTTCTGATTTCTTCTGACTAAAAGTTTAAGTGTTTTTAAAATTGTTCACGAAAATTTGAAAAATGCTGATGAAACTCAAAAGATAATAATACATCAATAAGACTCACAAAAGGAAATCTGTCTGAAGCACTGATTTTTTTTTCCTGAAAACATTTTTTGATGTATTTATTTGTCATCTCATACAAACATTCCACCAAAACAAACACCCCCAACACCACCAAAAAAAAAAAAAAAAAAAAAGGAAGAAATTCCAGTGTAGTTACACTATTACAATTGACAAAACTTTGAAGTAGGGGAAAAGGGAATTACAGGTAGATATTAAGAATGAAAACTTCTCTCTCAATAAAAACTGTTCTAAATCTTTTACTTTACAGACCCTAAAACCAACCCAAAAGTGATAAGAAAGCTGCTTCTAAAGATAGCTAAGAATACAATCCCCCTGTGGAACCTGCCCACTGCACACTCCTACCTGCTCCCATCCCTGTAACTCTTTTTAACGATATTGTCACTACAAAATTACTGCCTAATAATTAAATAACGTGGCACAACATTAAGCCAACTGCTGTGGAGGAAAAAAAAAATGCCTTTAACAGCATTCTGCATCTTCCTTCAAGACAGCACGTGTTTGGCTCTTTAAAACATCTCACCCCACAAGGCTTTCTACCAAGAATCAGAATTAAGACTGTCCTCTAACCTAACCCATGAGGATATTTAGAGTGGAGAGGGATTTCAAGACAGGTTTAGGCTAACTAATCCAGGAACACCACAAAGCAGGTCAGAGCTGTCAACAAATTAGTACCAAATAAGAGATTACAGAGTTGCAAATGTCAGAGGGCGCGTTTGCTCTGGTAACCCGGGGTGCAATTATTTTAAATGCAAAAACTGGAAATAAGAGAATCCAAGTCCTGGGTTTCTCCTCTGGCCTTCAACTCTCCATTGGGCGGGCTGTGTGGAGAATGGACCTAATCCCCCCGGATCGCGGGGATTTGGGGGCGGGGTAGGGCCGCCTCCCGCACTGGTGAGCCTGAGCGCCCWGCCCCCGTGCTGAGGACGCGCTTTGGACACTCACGTTTTCTGCACCGGCTTCCGCCGTTTGCGACTGGCATAGGTGATGTTGGCGCTGCTGCTGTTCATGGTGCCCAGCCGGTTGCAGCTCCTAACCGGCACAAACAGCCCGGTCCCCCCGACTCTGCGACCGGGAAGGCGGCGACCGCCCGCACGTTCCACGAAACCGCGCTCGCTCCACCTGCGTCCTCCTGGGACAGTGACTAGGGCGCCGCGCCCCTGGCGCCTAGCTCCCGCAGCCTGCGCTGGTCCAGGTGAGCTGCCCGGGCCTGGCAGTCGAGGAAGGGGGGGGTTGTGGGGGGAAGGGCGAGGGGCGGAGACCCGTAGCGAGGAGGCGCAGGTGTCGTCTACACCCGCGGAGGCGAGGCGGTGCTGCCCGAAGGTGAGGTGGCCCGATCGAAGGAGGAGCCTGGGCTTCTGTTTAGAATCCTGGCCTGGGTCGCGCGCGGTGGCGCCGCGCCCCGTGACCGTCACTGCTGCCCCTAGGGTGAGGGAGGCGCCGCAGCGCAGCTCCCGGGGCTTCCCCGATCCTGGGTGCTTCCCGCCCGCGGAGCTCAGGCACCGGCCACCAGTCCTTGCTGCCACTTGCTTCCGTTCGGCTACACGCCTGATTCTGGACTAAGCTGGCGGTCCAGGGCACGCTCTMGGGACTAAGCGTCGAGTGGACTCCCCTGACGCAGCCTCCCGTAGTCGCGCGCACCGGCTGAATAGCAGAAGCGTCCCCGACCCCACACCGGCCTCGCCCCGCCCTGCCCTGATCCCTGGTAGCCCCGCCCACCTGCTGGGTCCCGCCCCACCACCGTCTCCCTTAGGGTCACACCCTCATCCCAGCACRTGATGACGTAGGACGTAACGACGCCCTCCAGTAGCCATCTTCATGAGGTCCAAAGGAGGGTTTTTTGTTTGTTTGTTTATTTGTTTTTTGGTTTTTTTCCTGTAGACCTATTTTCCACCTGAGAAAGAGGTGTCAACGAATTATGCTTAAAATTTTTTAGGTATRTTTATTTGATTATATCAAGATATGCCAAGTGTGAGCTTAATTCCACTTATTTGATACTGAGTGGGCTAGTCAGCTAACTTGGCTAAGATTTTCAGTGAGCTACAGACCAGTGGAACTGTAAGTGTTCTAGTGGGGAACGCTTCCAAAAGACACATTTGTGTTGAGACTTGAGGAATAGGAGGAATCTTCTTGGCTATTATTATTATTAGGAAGAAAGCATGAGAGCATTTAGGATATTTGGGTGATATTAAGTAGTCTTGTATGATTGRAGAAGAGGAGCTGGAATAAGAGTCTCATACAGAGAAAAACTGGAGATAATATTCAGAAATTCTATAAAAAAATGATGAAGCCTTGATGAAAAGTTCTGATTTTATCCTATGGGTAATGGAAGTCTTTTAAAGATATTAATCAGGAAAGTGACATTACGGGGTCTTGGAAAGTCACTCTCAGAGGAATTTGCAAACTGGATTACTGGGGAGCAAGAATGCTTGCAAAGAGAGTAGTTAAGAAGTTGATGAAATAGTCCAGGTGAAAGCGCAAGGAAATAGCAGTAGTTAAAGATGAGTGAAGAAAACATTGAACATTTTAGAAAAGTGTAAGGGAAGAGGAGATGAGAGAAAACAATCCGGGATGGATCCAAGAGTTCTGACACTTCATGTTAACCACAATAGTGGATAGAGACAGGAAAATGTTTGCTCACAGAGACCAGAGGGCACCAATTTAAGATGAAGATTCCTAGATAATTTCTCACACCATACTTATTCATATATTTTAAAATATCTTCAAGTCGGTCTACTCTGTGAATTTTTCACCTAAAATTCAGTGCAACAAATTGAACTCATTGACCCTGAAGATCTCCATGTTCATTCTTCACTCCACCTAGGAATCATCTTAAATTCCTCTATATTGTATGTGGATCTAGAAAATACTATTGAATTTTGTTGGTTGCATTATCCACAATTCAATTCCCTCCACATGTCCTCAATAATAACAGAAAAATAGTACCCTGATTAAATGCCAATTCATTCAGGATTCCTTAGCTTATTACAATATCATTCCCTTCCATACATTAATGCATTCAAAAGATATTGTGAGAATACCTACTATGTGCCAGGAATCATGCTAGTACTAGAAAATAAGTAGCAAACAAATGCCCTCAGGAATTAAGAACATATGGAATGTCATAAATGTAATGGGGAAGTACATGATTCTGTATTATGTTCTAGTGGATAAATTTTACCTAGTCATTGAGGCAAAGAAAGGTTTTCCCAATAAAATAATTGAGTTGATGTCTGAATAGGATCACCTAGGAGAAGAGCATTCTGTGTAAGTAATGACCCTTTGGTGGGAAGGAACCTGGCAAGTATGAAGACTAAAAGAAGTTTAGGATGAGCAGAGGGGAGAGGAAATAATCAAATTGCATTTCAGAAAAATCACTATATCTGTACGCTGTGGAGCAGATTAAAGATGGAAAAGTAAAGTGAAATGGATGGTGGCTTCTTAAGAAATCACTGCAGTAGCCCAGCCAAGAAATGAAAATGCCAAAACTAGAGTGGCAGTGATGATGGAGATAAAGAAAATATAAAAGATTTGGTAGATACCTGGGAGATGTCAGATCAGATAAGAGGATACATGGCAGTGAAGAAAAAGGATATGTCAAGAATGCAATTCATAGTTTTCTGGACTTGTGCATCTGGTGGAGTTAAAAATTATTAATTAACCTTCAAGCCTCATGTTTGAGGTATCTTTGAGACATCTAAGAGAAGATGTTGAGTACACCAGCTCAAAGAAGAGGTATAAGCTGGATACATAAATTCAGAAGTTACTGCACTTAGGCAAGAGAATATGGAGGTGTCATGTATGTTCATTAAAATGTCAGGAATGTATACTAGAAAATAATGAGTAGAACCGAGCCCTAAAGAATTAAAGAGCCCCATATAAGAACTCTGTATCTAATGGTAGATAAAAGATTATGATCCTGCAAAACACATTGGAGAAAGAATTTCTAGAATGATAACAGGAAAGTAAAATGACTATATAGTGTCATGAGGGACAATAAGCACAAATGTTGGTAGATGTTAACAGTAATGAATACTGTTGTTTTAAATAAAATGAGAAATGAAAATGTCATTTTTAGCTCTTTGACCTGAGGTCATGGATGACTTTAGTGAATGCTGTGTTAGGTAGTCACATTGAAGTGGGCACATTGATGATATTCAGAATGTCAGAAAATGGTACCTACAAGCAGAAGATTTCTTTTGTGTATGTGTGTGGTGGGGAAGAGGTTGTACCAGGGATTGAGCCCTCATGCATGCTGGGCAAATGTTCTATCAGAGAGCTGTATTCCCAAACCTTTTTATTTTAAGCTAATCTAAGTAGGTTGCCCAGGCCAGCCTTGAATATACTATCCTCTTGCCTCAGCCTCCAGTATAGATGGGATTTCAGGCATGCACCAATAGGTCTTGTCAAATGGTTCTTCTTTTTTAAATTTTTAAAAAATATTTTGCTGTAGTTGTACTTGGACACAATACATTTATTTTATTTCTTTGTAGTGCTGAGGATTGAACCCAGTGCCCTGCATGTGCTAGGTGAGTGCTCTGCTGCTGAGCCACAACCTCAGCCCCTCAAATGGTTCTTTTTAAAAGGTTAGTGGTTAGTGGTGAATAGGAAAAACACGAGACAGGAATTGAGGGTTTTTTGTTTTGTTTTGTTTTGTTTTGAAGCCAGGCATGCTGGCATACACCTATAATCCCAATCACATGAGAAGAGGAGGCAGAAGAATCCTGAGTTTGGAAACAAGCTTGGGCAACATGATGTTATTGTTATTGGTGGTGGTGGTGTTTTGTTTTGTTCCAGGTTTTCAGGGGGTGATACTTTAGCAGGTGAGAGAGATGGAGAGATTTACTATGTAAGAAGGACAAGGAGCAGTGAAGGAATAATAGAGATTATTGATAATAAAAGCAGGAGGATGAGTATCAAAGTGTAAATGGGAGATTAGGACTATAACAGATTAGATAATAGTAGATATAGCCTCCTAAATGCTTTCTATTAAAAGTGGTCCACAACTTCTCATGGGGAATTATAGGAAGTACAGAATCTGTGTGTCCTTCATAAGTCAAAATCTGAATCTAACAAGTACTTCCAGGTGAATCAACTGTGTATAAAGTTCGAGGAACCATCCTCTACAGCCACTGGAAGAAAGGATAATGAGTGAGATATACTAGACCAGTAAAATTTAGATCAGAAAGATGAAGATGTGACGGGAGAATATTTTAGCATGAGCTACAAAGGAAGTGTATATATTGTAGTTTATAGTTTTTGTTTTAATTTTAGAAGAGCATAAAGTAAAAATAATCTGGGAAGGGGCAACAGGAAGGTGAACATCAACCCTATATCCGAGCTATGTCATAAGGAAAAATAATTACATACCATCTGGGAAGGCTTGTAGGGAATAGTATCCTCCTGGAGAGCCAGCTTTCAGTTTAAGGCAAAAAAAAAAAAAATCCCCCAAAAGACAGTACATGTAGCAGGAAATTTACTATTTATGGATTAGTGGATTAGCAATTCCAGGGTCACAGAGTCAACTATCTTACCTTCTTTTCCATTTCTTTATCTSTGTATAAGTATACAGAGCCATTCTATCTGAACTTTATAAAGTGTAAAAGAATAATTTCTTCCCAGCATAGTAAAAATGCACATCAAAACATAATTTATTGATTCTGTAGCTTATAGCTCCTCATTAGAAAAATGGTGTATTCAATGTACTATATTCGATGAATTGATCTTCATTMAGTTTTTTTAATGTCTACCCTCTTCAGAGTTGTTAGCATTTGATTCAGTCAATATCTATCTTATCTTTACCTGCTTTCATGCTCTTATTTTCTGTTTGACTTTAAAACTGTTTTCATTATCCAGAAGAAATATTATGCTATCTTCTATGACATAGCCTCAGTTAAGTAATAGATCTTTGGACAGCCAGGATTAAAATAAAATGTCAGACAAATTTCCAGAATTCACTTCATTTGAGTAGTGATCCCATGAACTTTCCTTTAACATTGTGCTTAGCATGTTAATAAAGCCAGTTTTTAGTGTAAAGATATTTAAAGAAAAAATACAAACTGATACTTTCTAGAAACTATTGTTTTTTATGTCTAATTACCATATTTTGGTTCTCAAAATATGGTTTGTGGCATAAAAATCTGCCAAGTTTTCCCTGATCAATTTTTAGTAGCAATATAATTGTTTCCTTTTAACAATTTGCTGATAAGGGTTCATGCACACTTGACTGCCTTAACCAGAGAATGCCATTCTTTTAATTAATGAAATGAGTTTAACTTCTGAAGTTTCAGATGCAGCTACATGTCTATAGGTTTCTAAATGTTTTAGGACTTGTATCAGCTTATAAGTATACTTATAAGTCTAGAATAAAGGAAAACAACTGCTAAACCTTTTCTGTCACAATATATGCATTCATTCATTTCGATGAGCAAAATATTTTAGCACCTGTAATATACCAGACATTGTGTGATACATGGTGATATCAGACATGTTCTTGTCATTTAGAACTCACATTGTAATAAGAGAGATGAGAATAGCTACATAAATAAGTGTATAATTGCAATTGTACTAACTGCTGCAAGATGAATTATCTGAGCATGCTTAATAGGTAGATTTGAAATAGGGGAAGTTCTCTGAAGAAGCTTKAGCTGAGA